CAGCTGTAATATATGCCTCCAAAAAACTCTGCAAGGATAAAAATATTCATACTAAAGTAACTGTGTGGAGCTCCAATGTATAATAAACAGATTAAAACAGGTCAGGCAAAACGTTACACTACTGTCACTGGTACTGGCCTAGATCCAGTAATTCAGAACATATTATATTCATTTATGTGCCGGTTATTGAAGATAGTTTTTAATTAATACTTACAGCTGTTAGCCTAACAGTAACAATATCACCCTCACAAGTTACACACCAGAATGTGATGAATATAAAAAATTACTACTTTACATATAATTAACTATGGTCTATCGTACCAGAATTTGGCTTGTATAATACTCAAACGTATTACTGAAGAAAAATAATTTCAAAGAACATAACAGTTTCAAGCGGAACAAAGACCATTTAAATAAGAAATCTTCGGACCGAATTACTAAGGAGCTGGTGACAACTATAGGCCATCCATCCCCCAGGGTCAAGCGTAACATATTGCGGCGACCGCCGTAGCGTGGAGCCTGCGCCCGCGGCAAATACGTCCAGCTAAGCAGCTGCCTCGCCCTAGATTAATGGCTCAGTGCCTCTTTGTTTCCTATACCTAAGTTAGATGCATTAATTCTTAAACTTACCAACTTGCAAGACATTTTCAACACATCCACTTTCATATATACGTAAACCCCGATAAAAAGGCAATTTTTGAAGGTCAGTACAACCACTGTTTTCACTTGAAAGTGAAGAATACATACAAATATCCTTTTCGTTTCGTGGGAAAGACCAATAAATTATCCGCCTCTGTACAGGCTCAGGTATGCGATTATATCTCTCTTCAATTCTCTGGAACGGGATATGTAACGCCACTACTTTTGCACTAATATCAAGTAAGCTATCCGGGCACCTTGAAATAACTGATTTCGAGTCGTTGTTTAACAAAATATCGTTGTTTTGCATGGAATTACTGCCTACTCGAAAACAACAGAACCTCCTCGCCGTCGCCATCTTGAAACATCTGATACAACCTTTATTAAACGCATGCGCATTGCTTTTATAATATACTATCCATACTGAGGGCCCACCTTACTCAGTATGAAGATCCTATATGAACGGATGTTTAATACCAAACGTCATAAATCTCGTGTTAAAGAGTAACTTTCACCTGTTCGTAAACAAAGTGATATCAACAAGCATGTCTTCCACGCTATGTCTTAGACGCTACAGATTCTATTTCAAGTTAATGAATTATATACAGCTATTTATTTTTAATTACTTCTGAAAGATTAGAAATTTTCATTTTTATCTATATTTTAGCTGATATATATTTCAACACGTTTTATTCAATGAAAATTTGGGTACTTTAAAAGTTTCAACTGGAATATTTAAACTATCATAATCTCCTGGTCATAATCTTTGTCAAACATCAGAGCCCCCCTCCGTCGGTGGCATAGCGGTATGTCTGCGGACTTACAAAACTAGAAACCGGGCTTCGATAGCTGTGGTGGGCAGAGCACAGATAACCCATTGTGTAGCTTTATGCTTAACTTTAAAAAAAACATCAGAGACCTTAGTTCTGGCAAATTACTAAACACTTCAAATTTTCCGTTAGTCAGTACATTGTTAACGGTTCAATATTTTGCTTTTACGAGTATAAAATGAAACCCAAAGATTCCTAAAGTTTGATTGTTATATATGGATTTCAGATATAACTAATTAGATGATGGTATGTTAAATGAAGCAAGCGAAAAATGTTTATCGTTTGTATCATTATGATGCAAGATTGATTTATTGTAGAGAATCGACGCTTTTCGAACATTTAGTCGTGTTTTTTAAAATATAAGAAAATTATTTTTTCTCAGCTTACATTTGATAAACGTATAAAAATCAAACAATGCGTTTATTGTTCATTATTTTCGCATTTGCGTTTATATATATAATTAATTTTGCGTCATTATTACTTCTAGCCAAAAGCATATTTTTATTTTAGTGTGTGCATAATGTAAAATACAGACGTACAGTAACTAAACTTTTGAAATTAAATATCTATTGTTTTGTTTGTTTAAGTACAAAACTGCACAGTGAGCTATTTGCACTGTGAGATCGAACCCTGAATATTAGCTTTTAAAACCTTAATCTTAACGGTGTTTAACAAAAACCTATAATTTTTCATGTCTTTATCACAGTTTACAACATATGCTTACCGCCCAGGCCCTAGCGCATGTCACCAACAGCACAGTTTACTGAGTTCAGTCAGATGTGTCTGTCTAGAGGGAACAATTACAAAATGACCCCCTTTTTTTTTCTCTCCTCTACTTTTGAATCATATTCAATATTTCAAATATCCATCCCCCTTTCCAAAGTTCGAATATAATCATTTCCGTAATCAAAATGGAACATTTTAAAAAATTATACACGAGACTGATTTTGTTAGTGTGTTGTTGTTTTTTAACAGAAAGACCAAAATCTAGGATATCACTATTTGTGTTGAAGAGAGAATTATATTACTTGAACGCTTAGCCTAAAGCATATTATGTTATAAACACATTTCTTCAGACAACTTGGGTAAAAGTGGGAGTTGGCCTAGAATATTCCAGTGCATTCATAACACATTGGTTAAGATTCATTTTATAAGATATTTATTATTGTGAAAAAAAGGAAGATATTTGAAAAAAAATCGTAACTACCGTTAAATAGTTTAAGATTGTCAATTCTGTTTATATGTTAATAACATTTTTATTTAAAAAATAAATGAACGAACAAGTTCCTCATCGTTCTTATCGAGCTGATATGTTCAGCCTCTATTTAATACTTCTGGACAAATAAATTAAAACTGAAAATGCCACATGTAGACTATTTTAGAAGTTTCGAGTAAAAATACACACAAAAGCTATGTGCACTGATAGGCAGGAGGTAAGGCAGCCAGTCAACAGCAAACATAGCCAGCTCTTGTCAGACTGAATAGTGGGATTTGGTCATCACTTTTACAGCGTATCCACGACCTCAAAGTGCGGAGCGCGTTTTTGCGGCAACGGGTCGCTAATTACTAAACCTTGGATTCACAGTCCAAGCACGGTAATCAGTATGCCACGCCTGACCCAAATGTAGACTTAAAGAAGTGAAAAGGCGACCAAACCGTTGTTGTTGTTGATAAGTGTAATAACACAGGGAGTGTTCACTAACTAATAAAACTGAGTTACTAGTTCTCTTTTTGTACAGATAAGTTTATAAGTTCTTTAAAGAAATCCTGCTCTATTTATTTATGTTTTTGGGAAGAATGGTGTTGAACTTAAAATTTGGATCTTAGCGTTTCTGCGGTACATTAGTTAAAATTTCACTGTCTTCTCATTCTACCATCTTTCTTGAACAGTAATTTAAAAGATAAAAAGAAGAAGAATCTTGAAATAAACTTTGACGACGCCTTACAAACTGTGTCTTTTCTTTGAAATATATGTTTTTATTCTGATTTTTAATATTATTTAAAACTGGTATACAGCATTTTATAAGAATAATGCATAAAACTAATAGCTGGGAGCTATTCACTCAAATGTTGATGCAAGTCGATTGAAATTCATCCACCCATACTCAATAATGATTACAATGATAAACTATGGCCCTTGTCTCAATTATTATTCAATTAGTGTGATCTATTAGAGATAGAAAATTATAATAACGTCATATTCCCTTGCCCCTCCCCCTTCTCGGTAGCTCAACATTAAGTCTGAGGGCTTATAACCCTAAACACACACACACACATATTCCCTCGTTGACGATCTCTTTAATCAATACCAAATTTAAGTAAACTTTGTTTTTATTTCTAAGAACCTATGACTGAAAGTAAAGGAGAATAAGACAAGTATTCGCACATAATCAGCAGAGAACAATGTTCAGATGAAATGAGTGATCTAGATAAATACATATGAAAACGATCACGTCCGATTTTTGATCCCTATCAGAATAGAAGTATGAAAGTTTAAAAGAAAAAGAAATGTCATGATTTTACTCACAGTTAATTACTTCTTTTTTTAGAAGACACGAAACAACGTTTGGAGATTACGCATAAATGTATCTAAATTACCAGATTTTTTTTCTTTCAAGCTAAACGTTGTATATACTACGTATTTGTTACTCCGTTGTATTTTTCATTTTTATCATGATCTATTTTCTCGCCGCGGATTTGAACCCAAAACTTCTTGCATAGTAGACAAGTGCTTTACCAGTTGGGCCTAATAGATTGCGCCTTGACGCTTCTTAGTAAGTCACTTTTTAACAACTAAAATTTATACAACTGTTGTCCACTACCTTCTGATCGTTTGGAAGACTCGTTCATAATTTCCAGGAGAGCAACATAACTCATTATGGTGTTATAGGGCAAGTTATATTTTGTAAATGGTACTTTAAAAAGAAAAACTATATATTAGAAGAAGTAACTAAATTTTCACTTTCACACGGTATTCTTATACTGTAAATATGTTTTTTAAATGAGTGCAAATAGCACTGAGGAGACTAGTTGTTTATTTTTGTAATGTTAACAAATAGGGGGATATTTCTGTATTTCTTTCAAGATCAAGCTTTAATAACGCGAATAACGCTCATCTTTTCGACACAATATGGAAAGTACTTGTTTTTGCACTGTTGCCCCTGTGTTTGTAACAAAACTTGCACCAAAACTCGACTAAAATATTTTCTCTAAGAGCGAACACGAATCTAATTGGATCATTTTTTTTATGATTTTGTTTGTTTATTTCGAATTTCGCGCAAAGCTACACGAGAGTTATTTGCGCTAACCGTTCATAACTTAGCAGTGAAAGACTAGAGTTAAGGCAGCTAGTCATCGCCACCCACCGCCAACTCTAGAGCTACTCTTTTACTAACGAATAGTGAGATTTGCCGTCACATTATAACGTCCTCACAGCTGAATGGGCGAGCATGTTTGGTGGGACGTGGACTCGAACCCGCGAACCTCAGGTTGCGAGTCAAGCGCCCTAACCATCTAGCCATGCCAGGCCTTTATTAATGAAAAACTAAAAATGTACGATTAGCGTAATTTCCATTTTTATATAAACGATAAATATCATGTAACCAATCTGCCATTTCCACTAATTTCCCATTAAATTAATGTCCGTTTTAGTCATTTATTTAATTAAGGGGAAGGAGAAGATGGTATGTTAACCTATAGTTTATAATTCACAGAAACCAGAAGTATTCAAAGTGTGACATCTCTAAGTGCAGATGTGTCACGGATATAACGATACTAATAAACAAAGATGTATGTTTTTGGGATATGATTGAGTATTTAATTTTTTACAGTATTTTTGTAAAATATACATATATATATATATATATATAATGAAACGACCTACAGATAACTTTTATCGAAACGATCCCAGAGTAGAAATGTTAATTACTGAGCGAATGATCTTATTATGGATATTTTACCTAAATTTGCTCTACACTAACACGTAGAGTAGAAAGAGTAGTGAGAAGTTACTTGTATATCTCTCAAAGCTCCATTCCAGCCTTCTGTAGTGAAAAATTGTATTCTTAAACTTTTATCCTAGCATAATCTACGGTAGAAATACTTTGTAAAGCTCTTTAATTATTGTTTGTTTGTTTTGAATTTCGCGCAAAGCTACACAAGAGCTATCTGCGCTAGCCGTCCCTAATTTAGTAGTGTAAGATTAGAGGGAAGGTCATCACCACCCACCGCCAACTCTTGGGCTACTCTTTTATCAACGAATAGTGGAATTGACCGTCACATTATAACGCCCCCATGGCTGAAAGGGCGAGCATGTTTGGTGGGACGGGGATTAATGATTGTCAATAAATATTAGTTAATATTAAAAAGTGTCAAAGCAATTGTTCTGATTGTGCGACACAGTAAGACTGGTAACTGTAAAAGCTTATGAGTGAAATTAAATGCGTGTTTTCTCATAACAAAGCCACTTCGAGCTATCTGCTGTATCCACCGAGGTGGATCGAACCCATGATTTTAGCGT